CCCCCCCCCCCCCGTGCTCACCCTAATCGCTACTCAGTTCTGTTCCTGATCATCGATACCGGAACTTTCCTCCTTGACTTTCGTACTTTCTCCAACTTTTTCCCAACTATCTCACTCTTATTCGTTCACGGTTCTCTCTCTCTCTCTCTCTCTCTCTCACTCTCTCAAGCACACGCATTCACAATTTTTCTTTTCCTTCTCCCTCTCGATTGCTATAGTTCGCGGCTTTTCAGTCCCTCTCATTTATATACCTATCTTCTCAATGCCTACCGACCGAGCTGCTCGATGCTGTCTACGAGAAACGAAGCGAATCCAGTCGAATGAATTCACTGAGAATTCATTCGTCCCTATTTATTTATTTACACGCACGCGTCCGATCGCTTCCATGCGCGACGATGAGAATCGGTCGTTCCTCATCGAGACGGACGAAATTTTTATTTACTTTTTCTCTTTTGTCTTCTCCTTTATTATTCACTACCGGATTATCGCATTCTCATTCATTCGTTCGATTCTTATCCTCACTCGCCGTGACCTCCTGCTCGCGTAAATTCAATTTAACTATTACGATAATAGTGTTAAAGGGGCTCTGGGTACGAAGATGATCCTTTTACTTTTCTCTCTGGCTTTGACCTTTGACATCCTCACGGGCCAACCTTTAGGGCCAAGACAATACTCGGATGTCCCTTTCTTTTCTTTTTTTTTTTCGTAATGGGAATCATTATTATTATTATCTTCGTAAAGTGCCTGTGTTCCAGAAGGGAGTTTGCTTCTCTAATGTATAGTATACTGGAGTTACTGTACGTACGAGTATCTCTAAGCACTTATTCGAGTTTGATTAGTTTAAAAAAGTGTAAAATGGGAAGGTAAAAAAAAATTCCTACGCTATCGTACGAATTTTTCTTTTTCCTTCTGACTCCTTTAGCTTTCCTCCTTTATAAAATCTAAGTCCGACGCGAAAATTCGAAAAATTATAAAAGGTCGCGCGGTACTCTCCGAGAGCCACTTGATTTTCCCGCCAACTACTATTTCGGATTCGGGCGAATTAGCGAATTCAATCTTACGGACGCACCGGACCCACTGATCTTGCGACTTTTTACAAGAAGCCTCGTGAGAAGACGAATAAGTTTTTAATAACGGAGAGGAAATATTTAAATGCAAAACTATCGATGGACCTAACGTCATTTGCGTGATGGCTTGTACAAATATGAAAATGAACTGGGTGACGTATTTTTAGAAATTCTAGGCTCGAAATGTGAAATAAAAATATAAAAATAAAAATCTTCTCGCTCGGAGACAGCTTTCATCTCGGTCATCGCTTGCAACGGGTACGTTAACTTAATTATCCTTAACCTATAATTTCGTAGTCGTCGCTCACTCGCTATACGCATAGCCCACGCACGCCTGAATAATACAGACTTGCCTCCTCGGACAATTCAATTACTAATTACCCGCGTAACTGTACAGAAAAGCCCAAAAAAAAGTGACGAAATAAAATATCCTGCAGAAAATCGCACGGAAGTATCTCGAAAAGGAATTTCGTACGAGGACTTCGAAGAAAAAAAGTACACGAGTCATTATCATAGGCGAACGATAGAGAAGATAAAACGACATCGGCCATTAAGAACGGACAAGTCAGTTGAATCCAAAAGTGCGAATTCTCGGTCGACGTCGGAATTAATGCGGCACAGTAGGTAGAAATGGACGTGTCGAAGATGAAGAAAAAAAAAAGAACAAGAAATTCAAAAATCGTAGCGACAGATGAGAATACCCAAATTTCACTTAAGAATCGTCGATATCGGGTGGCTAAAAAAAAATGACTCGTGTCACTTTCCAAAATAAAATTTCAAATTATAACCCGTCTACGAGTGGCGAGGGTATCAACGATCGAGGCAGTATTTTCATTAGGCCAAGTTCCCAAAAAAAAAAGCCCAAAACCCGTTCGACGCGCAATAAAATAATTAAACGCCATCGAGTACCCTCGGGGCGCGCCAATCGCGCAATGGCAGACACGACAAACGAAAATAAAAACCGACAGAAAAGAGAGAAAGAAATAATTAAGAGCCGAGGACACGCGTGTAAATGCGAATTAACAAAAAAAATATTCACTAACGCAATTACGATGTGTATCGCGAAACGAGCGAACTAGGGGCTCGAGCTATTCCTTATTAATTCTATCTTTCCTTTACTCGCTAAAAACAATAAAGCTCGTTAGCTCAGGACGATCAAACGAAACGCCGTATCCTCGTTTCGAAACCCAGGAATTAGCCAATATGCGCTTAAATTAGAATTAAAATTTGGTATCGGTTGTCGGCCAATTTTTCTTTTCCCTTTTTTCTTTTTTTTTCTTTTCACAACGAATAGAAAATCTTCATATTTTCAATCTTACTTTTCATTCGTTCTCCCCTTTTTTCTTAGCCTCTCAGCCTTTCTCTCTATTTATCTCGTGCACCACTTCTAATCTCATCCGTCTCCCTTTCTCCGCGGAATCACTCGATCTTCTCTATTACACGTGATCGATCCATCTACTAGTAGCTCCTTCGCTCTCCTCTCTCTCTCTCTCTCTCTCACTCACACACTCCAACTCACTCACTCTCTCTCTCACACACACTCCAATAAATAATTTAATACATTCACTAGAAATTTTGCTCGCTAAAGTCTACGCACACTTTTGGAATACACATTGAAGTAATTATCTGCGATTTTAGTCGCCTCCTGGAAGCGACGAAAAAAAAAAAAAAAAAAAAAAAAAAAAAAAAAAAAAAAAAAACGAAAAAAAAGAGTCATCGTAGTCACGCAATACGCGCTAAGGTCTCGAAGTCGGCTCTTACGATCTTTCGTACGGTGTTTATCAAAACCTACGAGCAGCGTCTCATTAAATTACACAGTTCACAATGTGCATCCTGTCCACGGATATACATATCATACGAATGTACACGCGTCTAGGATCTAATCGTGTATCGAACGGGACGTCGCGCGCGAACGTTACAAATACTGGATGTCGACCTAGAGTCAAATCACATCGAGAAACAAACGCATTTGTCGTATCAAGTATACAGTGACAGGTACCAAAGATAAATAATTAGACACAGCGGCGATGGAAGAGTGAATGTGACGAAATAAAATTTACGACCCGACGAACACGACAGCGACGAATCGGAGGTTAAGCGAATAAAAATCGATAAGCCGCGAGGCGTTGCTTTTCGAATTGACTTCATTTTTAGGCCTCGGTGTCCCGCGTGTAAAGTCAATACACAGAAAAGGGGGTGACTCTTCAGATGGAAAAAAAAGGTGGGCGAAAAAATGATGGCAGAGAAAACAAAATTTGTTAAAATAAGTATAGACCGGAGAGAGCAAGTAAGTAGATGATATTTTGGTTCGATCTCTCGTCCCTTCGAGTGCCACCCTCGGACCGTCCCTTGGAAACTGCGGATGTTGAAAATTCGAAAAAAAAAATGTACTTGCGGGTTATGTGGATCGTTAAATGTCACGAGTTCAAAAGGTCGAAGGTACCTTCACGCATCCTACCGTGAACTTCGCGACGACCTCGATTATCGGATTCGAACTGGGACGAAAATAACGTGCCACGAAAAAATATTACCGATCGTCTGAGAACGATCGTCTGTTTTTTTTTGTTTTTTTTTTTTGACATACCTGGACTCAAAATCGCCCCGAAGCACGGTAAGACGCCATTCGACAACCTTATCCCTTAGCGTCGTACGTAGTATGTACCTAGGATCACGTGTGTGTAACGTATACAACATTGCTAAATTATATACATACAGTACAATTACAGAGTAGTGTCACATTCATCATATCGATAGACAATATTAATAACGATTTTTTCATTCTTCATCGCGTTACTCGCTAACAATTCCTACCGACCTATACGCTAAAAGTAACTAAGGTTTTTCCTTCTTAGCCTTTACCGATTCGCTTAAACTTTAAAGGTACCTATTATTATTCTCCTAGGCGCACCTGTGCTCTACAGTACTTAAAAGCTATTCGATCTTATCCTCCTCGCTGTAGATCGACGATCCTCGTCGTGAAAACTAATAATTGCAATCGAAAGTATCCCCACTTTTTTTTTTTTTTTAAATAATCCTCATCGTTCTTACGAAGTCGTTATCGTAGTCACCCGTCGTAATCATCAACCCATATAATCGTTCACATTTATCGTGTCGTCGTTATCGGTTATGAATTACGGTATTCAATCGTGTACAAAATTAACGTAACAGAGAGACGCATAAACGAAAATGTACATATCGGGCCTCCCGTTGGTCAGTCAGTCGGTCTATGGATTCTCCGAGCCTTTTTTTTCCCCCCACTAAGAAGGCACAACAAATCGCGAAACTCAAACTCGCCCACTGTCGCCGATCATATGCCTTTCGATGCATATTTTTTTGCCTGATGGATATGGTAGCAAAGTCAACCTCGGGTGTACACGATACAGCAACGTGCGCGTATGTTATCATGTACTGTTTATATCAACCCTTTGCACTTGGCGAATATTGTTTTCTGCGAATTTACAGACGGGTTCGCATCGGTCTCGCAGTTTGGATCGGACGAGTGCAAAGGGTCAATAGGTACTATGAAAGTGTATTTTTAATATATGCATGTACATGGGTGTGCTATATATATTTAACTTTAATGCAATTCAATTCTCAGTGCGTTATTTCCAGGTTGTCTGCATGGTATTCGCGACGATTGTTTCGCAGACAAGATTTAAGGGTGGTACGACAGGATTATTGCGAACGATGGAAATTTCGGACGATTAATGATCTTGGAAAGATCGTAAATGTGTTTATACGATTTTTCGAAAAGCTTTGCGAACGTTAATTTCCATCGTTCGTGGTTGCGCGGCTATTTATAAATCTTGGACTGACGATCGTCGTCGCGTCGGCCATGATGTATCGGTACGTGGAGCATATGTAATTAATATATCGTATAAAGCATCGGCCAACAAGCACTGACTGACTCTGTCATTTCTAACACTAGTTCTCTACGAAGGAACAAAAGTCTCGATACTCGATATTTGGCACAGATTAAACGAAACTTCGATTCGCTAAAGTTCCACCACGACCAGAATGAAGGAAAGGAATAAACAGAGAAAAAAAAAATTAATAAAAACCGACAATATAAATCGCGATCGTTGGCATTCTCACTAATTGTCCTTATGCGATCCTCGAAACCCACCCAAATGAAAACAGTCCCACGTTAATATACCTTAATGTGTGTCAAATATTAAGTAATGCATGTTTTGATTTTTTTTTTCGTAGCGTTCAACAATGACCGAAAGCATTGAGAAACATAGTTTTTTTTCAGCATCTGTGTTTTTTTTCTTTTTTTGTAACAACGTAAAAAAAAAGGAGACAAAAATAGAAGAAAACGTAAATATATTATAATACAGCGTACGCCTTATCAAGCTAGGAATATTATTGTAGTAATCGTTAAGCCTAAGCCTACCTTTTATCGGAGAAAAAGAAACGCTTCCCTTTTTGCTCGATTTGCGAGAAATGTTGGGACAAAATTTGAAAAAAAAGAAGAAAAAAAAGAAACAAGGAAAAATGAACTCTTTCGCCGAGCGAGATTCAGTAAACGAAGTTGTGCCATAGTCGCGACCGAGCTTTCGGAGCTCGGCTGTTCCTTTCTGTTTTCTTTTTTTCCTTTTCTTTTTTTCTTATATCGAGGAAATAGGAGTAGGAAGGAGGCACAGGACAGGGAGAATGAGGAAGAGGAAGGAAGTGTTTTCGGATTTATTTACAAGAGAAATGTGAAAAATACGATCAGATGAAAGCGACTTACAACGCGACGACAATAAATACAGAATTTACTCGCACGGACTGGCGTCACCGGTGACACACGTGTCGTACCCGAAAAGTCCGTCAAGGGCAGGTGGCGCCAGTGGTCGCAAATAAGAAGAAAAAAAAAACCTCGTAGTCGTTCGCGCGTACGTCTCCTCTCTTAAGTAAAACGAGTGTACTGGGATCGTAAGTGGTTTCAGTTATGCTTTGAGCGTGGGACAACGGATGATCACGAGTGCTTCACGACGATGACTCCAGGTCGTTGCTGAGCCTGCTGCTGAGAGTGAAACTGAAGGAAGTTGTTCACCTCGGCGTGAAACAGTCGCTGCTTCGTCGAGGAGCCGGGACTGCTCGTTGGCTTGTTCGTAAGCGCCAGGGGTACGTCCTGAGCAGGTTCATCGCTGAACAAGTGATCGCCTTCGAGATGCCGTATGGCTTCGACGATGGTTTCCAAATTCTGCCGCGACGTATTGGCCAGGTAGAGTCGCGCCTGGGGCGTGCTGTCGTCGAGGGAGTTGGCGGGGGAAGGCAATCTAAGAAACGAAAAATAATTTTCATTTGAAAACATGAACTCGCTTCAACGAAACCTCATTAATTTTGAGTATCCCGAACATGAAACGTACCTCTCGACCTCGACCTTCGGCTCGGCTTTCATCGCAGCTTCCAGGACGCTTGGCAATCGCTGCGGCTCGGCGGCCGGTGAAAATGGCCTACTGGGACTGGTCGAGATGAACTGCGACGACGCGTTCTTGAACTCTGAACTCGCCGTTGCGTATGTCACTCGCGTTGGGGAAAACGACTCCGTTGTCTGCTCCTCGATAACAGGAAATACTTGGCTCTGGGTAAATGCCACGATTTTTGGACTTCCTGGACGAGACTGTTCCTCCTTTACCTCCACGGGTACCATGTCCGCCAGTTGCGGTGACAATGGCGGACTTGGGTCCGGACTGGACGTCTCGACCGTCTGCGTCGAACCAACCGGCGGTAGGGAGACCACGGAGACGACTTGAAGAGCCGCCACGGCTTCCTCCGTCTCCTGCGCCATCACGTTATCCGTGTGCTCGATCACCTGTAAGACGTTTTAAGTAGCGATAACACGATAAACTTCCAAATACTGTATAAATACCAATAAAACGTATCGCTCGTAGGTCCACCTACCTCATGAGGCTGGTACGCGATAAGCTGATTGTCTCGGAATCTCTCAGGATAAATCTGACTCTGAATCGCTCTTATCTGCTTCTCCAGATGAACCCTCGTATGTCGCTCTCTTTCCAGCAATCTTCTCAACTCCACGACCTCGCTGTTCACTACGGAATGACCCTCCGCGGACACGGTTATCACGGACAGCGGTTCCGGGGACATGCTACCCAGGCCTTCGTCGCCGCTCTCGTTCACGTGCATCGGTAGGCTCACTACGACTCCTATTAAAAAAAAAAAATATATAAATTTTTATCACGACTTGAAAATATTATTTTTTTAAAAAATAAATTACAATTATTTCTTTCTTTAACTTTGCACTCGTTATCTATTTTATATCAATATAACTATATATAAGTCCAATTCTCTACCTTGAGTCTCAGCCTTGCGCTTCTTGATCGGCACGTCGCCACCCTCATGCTGATTGACCAGTCGCTTCAGTTGGCAATTCTGCGAGAGGAGCTGCGTCTTCTCCTGCTCCAGCTGGTAGATGTATTCGGCCGTTTGTTGAAGTATAGCAGCCTGCAAGCAAATTGGTCAGGTTTTTATTATGGTAAATCGATACAGGTATGGGCCATCCTTGATCCAGGTGATACGATCCTCAACGGGACACCACCGACAGGCTACAACGAATTTCCTGTTTACGGGAAAATTCAATGGGGAGCTAGGTTAAGAGTGAACCAAATTTGATAATGATCGGACCAGGTGTGGAAGTGTCGCGCGTACTACGCGTAGTAAACAAGAGTGACCTCGAAGAGGAACGACGAAAGCAAAAGGGTTAATTGATACCGGGAGAACCCGGTCTGCGGCATACGGTTCCCACCTGCCGACAGGTGGCTAACGAACAGATGCCGGATCCGTAGGGTGAACGCCGAAACAGGCTGTCCCTCAAGGTTTTCTATCGCAAGATACTACTTTTTTTTAATTCTTTTACGTCATACTACCTATCCTACGAATGCACGTGGCACGTTGTCCAAAGTTTTAGGTTACTTTTTGTAAAATATTTATAAACCGTGTAAAAAGAAGAACTTTTGTCTCGTTTGTTTGAAAATTTATTGCACAGTTATTGAATCGGCATAATTTCTTGTTTAAGCATTTTTTGCTTACGAAGACAAATTTGCAAATTCACGCATCGTCGCCGAACGTCAGTTCGTGCGATTCGCGTGTACCCACTGAATGATAAATTGAATATTAACGAGAAGTGGTAGATCTATGCTAATTATTTTAATGGGATATTTTAACTGAGCAAATTACTGATCCGAGCGATCGGTATTGTGGGTAAGTGAGTTACGTAAGAATATTTTATCTCGGGTGTGAAAACAACGACGAAAAAATGTGTCGTTGTTAGGTTTAAAATAATGTTGTCAAAGTTTAAATAGGTCAGACACTTAATTATTTAATTAATTATTTATGACTCATTTATACAATAATATCCTCCATCGATCGATTGCGGGCTATAGTTGGTTTTACAGAAAATTTGAAATTAAAATCGAATACGGAATAATTTATTATAAACGCAGTTATTTTTGTTACTTTCGCGTCTTCCGTTTCCACCATCCGCAATAGGCAGGAAAGTGATTGGTGAATGGAAGGAACGAAAAGCGAAAAAATTTGTCCTACAGGCCTAACAATATTTGTTATAAAAAATATATATATATATTTCGATTTAGATCAAGGTTGGAAAGTATAAAATATTTGTCTACCAAGTGTCTAAGTCACGACGTCGAGTTATCACGAAGGAGGCTATAACGTTTATCACTCACGAAACGACGATGACGTCGTTCGTGCCGGTGCGATATATTTCGAGTGATTCCTTCGTATTTTCGACCAATGAGAAAGTCATTAATAACGCGTAAAAACGTCAGAAGTAAAATCGTGTCAAGAACCGAAGCAAAATAATTATTAATTAAATCACGTGGATTCCGCGTTTCTCACTCTTTCCTCCGTCCACGAACAATAACGATATGGAAATAATTCATAGGACCCGTACAAGCAGATTTCTGAAAGGCGACAAAATTGCTTCGATAAAATTTACATTTCAATTAAATATTTACATTTAAGTTAAATAAACGCTCTATATAAGCCAAGACACATTTTCCGGGTTTAAGACAAAACAGCTAGGAGCATCAAATCCGATACAGGTATCTTCATTCAAATTTCTTCTTTTCACCGTAGACCAGTAAAGCACAAGCCGATACTGCGCTAATATCAACTGAAGATGAGTGAGGAAGTGCAAGATCTAATGGATATGAAAATAGCTGCGAATAACGATACCGAGGAAAAGATCGAAACTGAAACGAAAAAAGATTCTTCGATCTTCGACGGACTTCAGATAATAAATGTCATCTACTTCAGCCTGTTTCACGTCGCTGCCATATACGGGATCTACGTGGCCTTATTTCGGGCAAAGCTCGCGACTCAAATTTGGCGTAAGTATATACGGTATATCTATAAACGAAGATAAAAAAAATACAATTTTCAATTTTAGTACCCATTTTTGCCACCCTGACAAGCTTTGGCGTGACGCTCGGTTCGCATCGATATTTCTCCCATAAATCGTACGAAATGACGACTTCGTTGAAAATCGTAGTACTGATAATCCAGACGATGACTGGACAGGTAAATCAGAGACCTAGCTTAACTGACAAATAAAAATTCTTGACGT